ACACATACACACACACACACACACACACACACACACACACATATATATATATATATATATATATATAAACGTGTTTTTACTTAAATAAAAATATGCTTGTGCATCTTGAAAATAAATGCGATTTAAAAAAAAAAATTTTTTTTACAATACAATAATATTTTTACGTTTTTAAGGGGTTTATTGTGCAACAATGATTGTCAGACTGCATATTATACATATTTAACTTAAAATCATTTAAATATGAGAGATTAAAGAGATGCAGAGTGAAATTAAAGACAAGACACTTTGTAAATTAGTCAAATCTATAAGGTTTGGCAGTCATTAGACAAATACATTCAAAGATAGAACACAAAATTATTCGAGAGAGTTATGATGCATATATTCTGTGTTGTATATATAAATACACCTACACACACACACACACACACACACACACTCAAACACCACAATTTCAAATTCTGCAAGTAATTCATAAAAAAATGTCCTCAGTGCATCTACAGCCTCTTTTTGTACCTTTTTTTTTCCTGAGTACACCCTAAAGGATTCAAATTAGTACTATAAACGTACATATTAGTACCTAAAGTGTGCTTATTAGTACCTTTTGAAAGGTTACCGCCCCAGTGACAGCTTTTGCACCTTTGTTTCTGAGAGTGTAGGGAACAGTGCGATGACCAACAGCAATTATTTGCTTTTTTACAAATTCACAGACAGTAAAAATGTCCTCAACATGACAATGAATTAGGTTTCAGTTCATGACAAAAATAGCTGGTAGACAACCATGGCGACTCGTGCCGTTCTCGCTGTCATTTACTTGGCGAACCTGCCTCGCACCAACCAACAATTTGGTCAAATTTACACTGCGATTGGCCGTGCAGGTGATAAGAGGTTGAGATGAACAGCTGGTAGCAGCCTGTGCTGGAGATGCTGAGCTGATAGCACTGACGTCTGCTCTCCCACCAAGACACCTTGGCCATCCAATCTCCCTTACCATCAAACTCTTATTACAATAAACCCCTAAACACCAGCAGAGGGGGGAGGGATGCATGGGAAGGGAAAAAGATGACCCAAAATGCCCTTTTTATCTCTCCATAAGGAGAGAGACAGATCCTTCAATAGGGCTAAAATAGTGGGAGAAGAGAAAATACATAATTTATCACCATATTATCGGAATATCCAGGCGGGCTAATAAAGAGAGTGCGGACTGACTATTTCTTGTCTTATCATGTGAAGTGGAGGATGGGGGAGGGGTTATCTGGCTGGAACAGACTGCCGAAAATGAAATTGAAGTTATCAAACACTAAATTCTAAATTAAATATAGGTGAATCATTAAAGCTATAAAAGTTATTTTTTCCTCTTTTTGTCTTTGTCCTTTGATTTATAGACATCACAGCAGCTGGTTATCAGGTTATTTTGGCTGTTACTTCTTTAAGAGCTGCCGCTGCTGAACATTATGCGGATCTGAAACTCTTTTTACCATTTCTGACCCACTCGGGTCTTAAAGTCTCTATTAAATATTTTTAACGTGTTAAACTGAAAAAATTAATCGCCTGCCTTTACGTGCTAATTTTGACACCACTAATTATTATAGATAATATTACATTATAGTAATATATTTAATAATACATAATATTATAATAATAGTTTTAAGAAATGTAACTAATTTTTGATCATTAATTCGTGTTTTATCATACTGCATTTGCACCATTTTTTAAAGCAATAAACCACTCAAGGCTGTGCATTACAATGATTTTACCACGGTTACCCCTTACCTTTACTGTAATGCAGAGCTTCTCGTGGCTCGCTGCTTTAAATTAGAATCCAGGCATCATTAATCACTGAGTTGTGGAATCGGTGTGTGTAACAAACAAAGACAAACAGTAGCTGCATTCCTGAACAGTTGGGACGTCTCGCAGCGCTCCTGGAGAAGGGTGAGACAGGCGCGTGGTGTTCCTGTCCTCTCCATCTCCCCTCCTCCTCCTACAGCCTAGTCACAGCACTTCATAGCTCATTAGTGCTGAACAGATGCTGGGGAGAAAGTTGGCACGCAATAAGCCCTCTCTTCATATTGCACTGATCTGTGAGAGATAGCTCGCGACTGAGGGATGCCTCACACTGACAGTTGGCAGATGAAGTTAATCAAAACAGATTAAAAAAAGAATAAAGGAGAGGCAACAAATCTGACATCCTTTATAGGGTATAATAATGAAATAAATTATCATATTCTGACAGCACAGAGTTAGCGCCGACAACCACGAATGACAGCCGCCAAATAAATCATTGAAGTATTGTGAACAATGAGAGCAAGAGAAATACTTTGACAGTTCACGGCTGCAAGAGCTGAAACTAGTGACAAAACTTCATTAGCAGTTATGCCATATTGAAACAGTTCTTACATAGAAGCATATACAGTGGCCACAAACAGTATCTGGACACCTAAATAGCACTTATAAGCATGTCATTATCATTGAAATAGATATCACAATTTCAATATCTGCACACAAATGACGCTAGAGTTAACTAAATTCACTCTTCTTCATTTTTGCAATGACTTATTTTCTGTCAAGGTTATTTATAGTGAAGTTAGTTCACTATAGTTCACAGAAGAACCACAGTTGTGTCACATTAACTATGAACGTGTGTTTTTGTGTTTGTGTGTGTGTGTGTGTGTCCCAAAATGCCCTTTTTATCTCTCCATAAGGAGAGAGACAGGTCCTTCAATGGGGCTAAAATAGTGGGAGAAGAGAAAATACATAATTTATCACCATATTATCGGAATATCCAGGCGGGCTAATAAAGAGAGTGCGGACTGACTATTTCTTGTCTTATCATGTGAAGTGGAGGATGGGGGAGGGGTTATCTGGCTGGAACAGACTGCCGGCCTGGAATTCTAATGGTAATAATGGGGTCTCTGATGGTATATCTTCCCCAGCTTATCAAGCCCATTATCTGCTCTTATCGCCACAGTCATCGGGGCAAATTAATGGAGCTCTTTCAGTGCTCTCACTTTATCTGCCTTGCAGAGGGCACACCAGAGAATGGAATAGGCCAAATATGAAAATCCAGGGTGAATCGCCAGGGTTCAGATAACAGGGCAAACTCTGTTCAATTGGGAACAAAATGCAACCATAAAAAAAAGACAGGAGCGTCTCAACCTCTTTGTCCTTTACTATAAGCAGGTGGCTGGCAAAGCTGTGCTCTTTACAGGTGCTACAGTCATTTCAAGAACTCTGAGCGCTGTGTGCTAGTGTTTCAAATCACTCCAGAAATATGTGGGACACCGTCTGCAGATTGAGATATCACTACACCTGCCTGCTGTATAATGCAGACCTTGAAAAGCAGAAAACAGACACGATGAGAGCTGATATGCAAGGACTGCTAAGCAAACTATAGAAACTCTAGCGCAATATGCCAAGACTGAAAATAAATAAGGTATTCTGGAGAGCTGTCCTTGTGTTACATTTCAAGTCTGCCATAATAAAAATTTAAATGTCACCCAGTGTCTTCTGTCACAGTCTTCAGCGGGTGTGCCCAGGAGGGCCACCAGATGACTGTGTTCTGGGAGCACATGGCTTGTGTTGTGTTTGTCTGTTGCCATGTGCTCTCTCCTGTCTATTGTCTGGCCCCTCCCATCTTGTTACCTCGTTATTGTTTAAGTTGCTCCACCTGTGTCTCCCTCGTTAGCCTCCTCGTTTGGTTCCTATTTATTCTCCTGGTGTCTGTCATCCTGTGCTTATCCGTCATTTCTCATTGTGTGTGTTATATGTCTGCATGGAGTGCAGTTTTGAGCCTGCCTGTCTGTTTTTCCCCCTCGGGGTGGTTTGAGTTTGTTTTTTGTTTCATTTTCATTATTAAAATAAATATTTCTCCTGCAATTGAGTCCTTGCTTCATCTCCCCGCACGCACCGTGACAGTCTTCCAAAAGCACTTCTCTGGAGTTCTAAGATGCATTTACAGAGGTTTGGCAGTGCTTGCATCATTCAAAAAAAAAAAAGTGTAGCAGTTTTACCAGTTTTTACAGGTTAAATATTACTTTCATATCATATGTCATTTTTTAATTTCTAGCATTCATTTCTCAAACATTTTTGGGAAGCTCTGGATTTAAAAAAATCATCAATTGTTATTAATTTAGTTTATTAAAAGCACTGGATTAAATGACACAAAAGACATAATGCACATACTTCACAAACACTACATGCAGCCATTCAGACAAATTCAGGAGTTTCTAACTTTCCAAAGATCTCAGTTTTGCCATTTCAATTTCGATATAAAAAAGGAAGAAGACGAACAATTAATGCATAATTCTGATAAACGCATAAAAGAGCCTTTGGTTTTTCTGAACCATATCTAACTGATCAGATATTCTTCATCAACAATCGGTTCATAAACAAAATGTATTTAAATAAAACATCGACTGAAGCTGAACCTATAAAAACTATGAAACTACTATAAACAACCTGTCCTGTCATCTGGAAAAAAGGCATGAATAAAATCCGCGTTGGCAAACTCACGTTTGAATTGCTTCGGGTTGCTCTGTTTCCTCCGGGACATTCCTGCTCCGCGCGCTGGACTCGAGATTACCAAATGATACCGCGACTCATCCAAACCCAGATAAACGCACTGCCTGTAAGACTCGGGTGTGTTTCGGTGTTTGTCTGATTCCAGCCAGGCTTTGCTGGTCTCGTCGTGTAGAGAGAGGGTTAAGTTGCGCTGAGATCCGGGCGCACACTGACAGCGCAGATGAGCGCGTGTTGTGCTTTTGTTGCAGGAGGCTTGAGCGCAGCGGTGCGCCGTAGAGCTGCAGCAGCGCTCACACACTCCAGCCAGTCCACACACATTCACTGCACTCTGCTGTTTACTAGTTGTTTTCTCTTTCCCCTCGGGATGTCTGCTGCGGAGAAATATATGCAACTTTCCGGACTAGTAGGAGTTTTTTCGTTTTTGTTTGTTTGTTTGTGGAATGCAGTCTTGCCTTTTTAATTACAGCCAGGATTTATTGTTTTGATTGCCATACTATCTGGAAATTTTAAGTGCAGAACAACACAATGTAAAAGTTTAAATGAAACCGATTTAAACTGTGTCTGAATACTGTGGCTGTGTATTATAAAATAGCGTACTTGCATACTGTGCATACTATTTTTGCAGTATACAGCATGTATATACTTTGCATGGTTTGCACAGTCGTCCTCTGAGTCCACACTTAATGTAATGCCATAAACAGGGGCACCGCAACGGGGGGAAAGTTAGGACGATTCCAAGGGCCCGACGAGGGAGAGGGGGCCCCGAGTGAGTCAATGCTGTTCAGGGGACCCCTGGCCGTAGAATCCTCTGTGGGGTCCTGCAAGGCCACAAGACAGGAAAACTGGGATTTGTGCAGCACTATAACCTACAATAGGCTACAATCTGCTCAATTGTACCTTTCCAGCGTGGGAATGAACAGAAAATAACAGCGACCATCATTTTTAACATGTCGTTGTTTATCAGATTACAAAGAGATGAGACTAATTTTTATTTATGACATGATGGCATGCTGAATTAAACACACAATGCTATGCATGTGACAACAGTGTAGCATCTGAAATACTGCACTATAAAAGCAGGCTGTTTGCAGTGTTTGCAAGTATTCAGTTCTAAATGTATCCCTAGTGAGCTGCCTACCTAGAGAGCATTTTTGGACCTGATCTTGGTGCGTTCTGATTCAGAAGGTGCAAAAAATGTCAATGAATATCACTTTGGTTCAGTTTAGCAGAGTAGGAATTACTTTAAAGCATGTCATTTAACAATCAGGCATCCTTTTTCAGTGTATCTTTGCCTTTAGACAGGACAATAAAGAACAGCAGGAAAAGGAAGAGAGGGAGAAAAGGGAATTGGATCAGGAACATGGCAGAAGCCGGACTCAAACCCATTAGTACCACCAGGGCATGTTGTGAGCATGTGCCAACCACCGTGTCACAACTCCAAGATGCAGCTTTGGCTTTAACCTTTGTATTTATTCAGATCCAAAACATGATGAGACTCTTTGCTGCTGCTGCTGCTCAGAAAATTATGTGCAATGACAATCTAAATGAACAAACCTATTTTATTATTCGATCATTATTTATTATAATCTGTTTTGTTCACATGCTCAGTCATTTTAAGCCTAAACCTTTTGGGGAGGGACAATCTTGATTTGTTTGTTATTCTGTAGAAGCACTCCAAAAGTGGGTTTTCACAGCAATGCCATAGAAGAACCATGTTTAGTTCCTCAAAGAACCTTTCAGTAAACAGTTCTTAAAAGAATCTTTATTTGTGAATAACATTTTAATATTCTAAAGAACCTTTGATCCTACTTTATATAAGGTGTCTTTAACTGCTACACTCTCAGAAAAAAAAGGTACAAAAGCTGGTGGTACCTTTTCAAAAGGTGCAAATATGTACCATTAAGACTTAAGATTAAGACACTTTAGGTGCTAATATGTCATATTTATATGAACCCTTTTGGGGTAAATAAGGTACTAATGTGTACCTTTTGAGTCAGTGTATGTACTTTTATGCTCCTGTTGTATTGTAAAACACTTTTGCTGCTACTGAGATGGGATATTGGTAAGGATAGGGACAGGTTTGGTGGTCTGGTTAGGTTTAAGGGTGGGTTAAGGTGTAAGGGTAGGGACGACAGTGTAATTATTGATGTATTACAGTTGTAATTACGCAGGTTTTACAATATACAATGTAAAAACTTTAATGTGCATTGTATCAAATGATTAATTTATATGCATAACAGTTGATGACTCTCAATATTAAGAGGGTCCAAACCTTTTTCCATTATAAAGAACCTTTTTTTCAGTGAAAGATTCCATGGGGTTCTTCATAGAACCACAGATGCCAATAAAGAAACTTTATTTTTAGTGTTCGATATACACAGACACACTGAAATTCCTCCATAGCCAGAAGACACATTTCTTGAAAAACAAATGCCAGAAAAGTGTGTCACCAAAACAGTCCCAGTCTTGTTTGTAATTTGATGCATTTTCAGGCTATAGATGCTGAGGTTTAGCGCGATGAGAATCATGTCTTCAATCTAAGGCTCAACTAAAGGATTTGCACCTCTCTTTTTATGGGAGATATCAATAGAGAATTGAGTTCCATTGAGACGCGGGAGCGAGCGCGATAAGGGCGGGGGCGCGCCGAAGATGGATTAATTATGAGCGAAAACTCTAAAGGCTTGATTCAATTAAACAGGAAACAGATGCGCCGTCAGAACATGGAGGTTGGGAAACCGACGCGGTGCAACCATGAGAGGAAGAGGAAGAGGAAGTGCGACTGGTCCTGATGGGTTACATCCACTGAGGTGACGTCAAAGTTATCTTAAAAAACAAATGAAACTGTCATTACACGGTTCGTAGCGACGCGGATGTCGACGGAGGCAGCGAATTTTGCCCCTCCCCACAAGAGCGCCTGGTCCGCTTGTGTTTGCTGGATTAATAACTTCATTTAAAGGCTCTAGGCGAGAGGAAAGTTAACAGTGACAGTGGCCCAGGTTTTGCACACCCTCAACGAGCCATGAAATTACTGCATGCCCCCTGAAAACGCCTGCTGATGGAAAGGGAAGGAACAAGTCCTTGGGGCCCCAAATGGGGAAATGTCCTCATAAGTCACCTTCTCCTTGTAATACCTATGTCATACCCTTGCCATTATACACATTTGTGTCCTAATATGTCACAAAAAGGCACACACCACACACACACACACACACACACGTGTGTGGTTCAGTAATGTTTAAGTATACATACAGTGACCCCAAAAATAAAAACATACAAGTGAATGAATTTCATTGCCCTCCAGCTGAGCCTGGTTTCTCCCAAGGTTTTTTTCTCTGTTTCTGTCATGATGGAGTTTAGGTTCCTTGCCACTGTCGCCTTTTGGCTTGCTTAGTTGGGGACACTTAATATTTGTGACTTGATTGCACAGACACTATTGGAAGAGAACCGAACTGAGCTGGACGATGACTTTAACTGAAAAATGTACTATTTACTATTGTCCTCTTTTTAGGGCTCTTTATGGCAGAATTGAATTTTGTTTGCATTACCGACACGCTATTTTCCTGTGTAACACTGCGAAGCAGCTTTGACACAATCTGTATTGTATAAAGCTCTAGAAATAAAGGTGACTTGACTTGACTGACAGTCTGTCCAGTTTGTTTTGGTCCGAGACAGGCTCAAACATACCCACGACCCTATATAGGACAAGCGGTTTGGAAAATGGATTGATGGATGGATGTACCCTGTTCCTGGCCCCGGTTTCACAGACAAGGCTTAAGCCTAGTCCTAAACTAAAATGCATGTCTGGGCCGTTTTATCTGAAAGAAACTTGCACTGACTGATCTTAAAATATGTCAGTGCCATTGTTTTGTCTCAAGATGCACACGAGTAATGTTTTTTTTTTTTTTTTATAAGGCACGTTTATAAAACATACTTAAATGTCCTACTTGAACTATGACATAATCCTGGCTTAACCTAAGCCCTGTCTGTGAAACCAGGCCTAAGGGTTTGCATCTTCCCCTAATTTTGTCCCACATGCGATGAAGACTCATATCAGTTGATTTATTTTACATGGAGCGGGTGTGTCATGCGCGACGACATGTTGCATCACATGACCAGCCTAAATCTCAGTTATTGCGTTAAACGTTTTGCACAATAAATAAATTCTTGGCTGACTGTGAATAATGAATTTCTACAATGCCAGAAGTAACTGGACTGCATATAAGCAAAATAACAAACAAAATGGATTTATTTTAAAGTACAAGGACACTTTTCAAGCACAATATCTCATGAAAATAAGTTTGTTAGATTTTAAATGATAAAACAAGTAAAGTCCACACTTAAAATTGCATTAATTTCATTGCATAAGATGCGAAATACCAAAGTAGGTGGCACTGGGACAAATTCTGCTGACATATTTTAGTAGCACATTTTAAATCATTGTTTTAATAATCTTTTGGCGTGATTCAAAGAAGTGCCCTTATATTGGTGTTGACTAGCATACTAAAGCACACTTGATTATAATCTTGACTGACTTGACCGTTATTCGATATTTCATTATTTTAAATGTAGTCAATTGTATAGCTTCATCATTACAAATATGTAATTACAAATATATTTAGATACATGGCATAAAATGTTCAGTAGAAATGACATTAAAGTATATTTTAGTTTACCATTAAGTTTAACCATATTTTTAAGACAATAGAATAATTATGAAATTGCATATAAAGATGTTCTTGAGTCTTACTTAAGTGGATCAAAAGATTCAACTAATTGCATTTAATATAAATTGAAACTAAAATACATTTTCATTTAACTTTCAGTTAAGTGTCCAAAAACGTTACATTCAGTTTACACTTAAGAATATTATTTTAAAGTATATTATTTCCCTAATAAGTATTCTTTTTAGAAGTATGATGCAATGTAGTTCATCACATCAACTATCATCCACTAACATTTGACAACCACAATGTGTCATAGAATATCTATTCATTTCTTTTTTACAAATGTGTTTATGTGAAAAAAAGTGTGCTTGCGCAATCTTTCTTTCTTTTAAATAAATGTCTTTTGAGTTCATCTTTTGTTGCAATGACCATTGAACAAAAGCTGCTTTTTGAGGCCAATAGAATGAGTCTGATGATCAGAGTTGAATTTTCAGTAAAAAAAAACAAATGGGAAATAAAGATATTCATTGCA